TTCCCTCCTCTACTCTCCCCTTCTTTCCTCCTCTCCTCTCCTTCCTCTCCTCTCTCATCTCCTCTCATTCCTCTCTTCTTCTCCTCTCCTCTTCTCTCCTCTTATTCCTCTACTCTTCTCCTTTCCTCTCCTCTCCTTCCTCCCTTTTCTCCTCTGCTCTCCTCTCTCTCCTCCTTCCTCTCCCTTCCTCTCCTTTCTCTCCTCCTCTCCTCTCCTCTCCTATTCTCTCCTCCCCTCTCCTTCCACTCTTCCCTCCCCTTCTCTTCTCTCCTCTTTCCTTACCTGTCCTGTATCCGGTGTTGTTCAGGTAAACCCCGAAAGTGCGTGGCTCGTGCTGCCGTTGCCATGACGATGAGGAGCAGTTCTCGTTGTTGGTGTAGGTGTTGTGGTTGTGGACGTACCTGCAGGGAGACAGCAGAAACAATAAAATAAAGATGAAATCAGGAACATAGACTTTAACACGTATGATAGCACAGGGGGGGAAAACGCCTCACTTAGTAAAAATGTGAAATGAGAGAAAATTCACATTTTTACGATAAAAACAGTAAAAAAAGAGAGAAAGAGTTTGTCCGTCTGTCAGAAATCAAACACCTGAATACAAAGATGGACTGAGCACAGGTAAAAAAACAAACATGACAGATGTAAAAGAAGAGGAAGTTCACTGTGAGTGTTCTGTTAAAGATGGAGGTCAGAGGTCAGAGCGAGTTTACTCCTGTTAAAGATGGAGGTCACAAACATCGCCATCCTTTAATTTTAAAGATTTAAACTTTATAAATCTGCGTAATGTCCCTTTAATAAAGGTCACCTGAGGCTCTGTAAAGGTGTGTTCTGACTTACTTCCCAGTGAGCATGCTCGAACGTGACGGACAGCACATGGGCGTGGTCACAAAGGCGTTTGAAAAGGAAGTCCCGCCCTCCTCCATGATGCGCCGTGTTTTATTCATGGCCTGCATGGAACCTGCAGGGGGGCAGGAGGTAACAGGAAGTCGAAAACCATCATGGCCTTTAAATAACCTGACCTGACGCCGTCATGTGACTCACCCAGCTCCAGGTCCTGGTCGTCCGTCAAGATCAGGATGATGTTTGGACGGATGTTGCGGCGATCTCTCTGGAGACGGGGCTTCAGACGCTGGTTTGAGGAAAAGTACGCGTGGCATAGCGACACGGAGATGAAGAGGATGATAAGGAGGAGTCGGCCCGCCATGGCCTACAACCCCAGCCCCCCACCAGGGGTTAGCCAATCAGTAGCCTCCTCTGCAGAGTCTCAGCTTCTGGAAATAAAGGAGGAGGAGCTTATCAGAGTCAGCCAATATTCTGACAGAGAGCAAAACAAAGTTATTCTCTGATGACAGCCAATGACAGGCCGCCTGAAACATCCAATCAGGTTCCTGCAGGTTCACACTTCCTGTCTGCAGTTAGAGTCAGGCTGTGTCTGAAATAAATCCCTAACCCCCATATGGAGTTTCACTATATAGCTGACTATTTCCGACACTACATGGGGCTCCACTGTGATGTCACTGCTAATTCTGCTGGCTGTTGTTTTGACATCTCTTGAGTTTTATGATTTTGTATAGACGTATTTGTTTTCTAGGATGTTCGTGAAATTAAAGAAAAAAAAAAAATTACAATGAATTAATAATTTATTTAAAAGGCCTTATATTTTCGTGCGGAATATTGTCTGCTACGTCATATTGCGCAAGAGACTATATGACGCAGCAAACACTCGTTCCTGGAAAATTGTACAGATAACTTGCGAGTGAAGATAAAAAACTTAAGTTGAAAATGGCAAATAGACAGTGGCGGATTTAGAGGGTGGCTACTTGGGCTCAAGCCCCGAATGTTTTCTCAAGAGCCCCGGATCTCCGATCAGAGCTGGTCTGAGTTTAATGCGCAGTACTTGAGTTCACCAGAGAGTGGCAGCATGCGCAGAAAAGCAGCCTGTAGCCTTCCTGTTCAGATGAAGAAGTGTTTCCCTCTAGTGGCTGTTACTACCTTCTGCTCTACTGCCAGCATCCAACGACTTGTCAAGTGCCTCCACAGCAAATTTTAACCCATTTAAACCGGGATAGCATGTCCACATTTCAACCTTCCAAGCCGGGAGTGGGGCTGCGCATTTCTACTCAGAAAGCCGGGTGCATGGAGGTATTACAACCCTTCAAGCTGGGAGAAGCGTGAACGGATTTCAACCTTTCAAGCCAGCGGTGCTGCTGCGCATGTCTACTCTTTAAGCCAGGAGCGGGGATACCTCATTCTGTAACATTCAGTAGTTTTTCAATAATTTCTGGAGTCGTGGCGAATCAAATCATCATACCTGTCTACCTCTGACAGGCTAATAAAGCAATTGGATTTGTGCTTGAATGTTGCTATGTGCTTTGTGAGGAAAGTAAACAATGATGAAGGCAGAGAGCAGCTTCGGAGGAGAAGCATCCAGCAGTGTGAACGACCTCTTCATATTGAGTACTTTGGCTCACACTATCAGCGATTGTGTGAGTGTTGCATGCCTTTGGGTGAGCACAGAGATGAACACTTTCAGCAGAGGCTGCACAATAAAAAAATAACTAAAAACTATAGGGCAGGAGTGAAAAGGAGAAAGGGAGTCAAATGGCTATTTGTTACGAACACAATATATCTGGATGTTTCATAGGTTTTATTTGCAAATAGTTATTTTTGAATTTTAGTTCATGAGTGAGTGAAGAGGAAAAGACAGGAGATGACCGATAACATTCAAAAGCAGAAGAGAAGGCATGACAAGACAAGAGGACAGCTCTGACTAGGCCTGCACGATATATGCAATGTGTGCAATAGTCACATCGCAGAGCCTGCGATATTGGAGGTGAATGAACTCATTTAATTCCAAGGGTAACTAACTGAGATACACTGCATGTGACTCTGCATGTGCTGTGCAGCGATCCACCAATCACCTTCGTCCTTAACTCAGTTGCCAATCAGACTCACTTCTCAGTTGCCAATCAGACTACCCTGCCAGCTGTCAATCAAAATCAGGGAGGAGGAAACCCACCCCTGCACATGTTCTGCACATGGAGGGAGACGTGTGTCCGCTGAGAATTACTTTCGGAACTTTACTCATGACTATTAAGCCCAACAAATAAGAACTGTATGGGTTTTAAATTGTACATTTCCGTGGACCACTCTACTATAAGCGGTGCGCGTTTTGCGAAGTGCATGCAATTCTCGGAGGACATGCGTTTCTCGGCACAACACCGCTAACAACAACAACAACGAAGATGAACAACGAACAAGCGAAAACCACCGAAAATGAAGATTTGTTGCCAAAAAGAAAAGGAAAGTCAGTCATCTGGAATTATTTCGGTTAAAAGAAGGATAATGTCAACCAAAACACGTGTTCTGTGTTCATCTGTCGCCACAATAACGTCCCAGCACAATAAAAGCTGAAAATATCTCTGAGACAGACAGAAGCCATTCTACTAACATTCACAAAAAGAGGTAAGATCAGAGCAGATTAACTGTCTTCAAGATTTCAGCAGTGCAGTATAACATTAAATGCTATTCAGGTCATCTGGTGAAAATTCCAGTATTTTTAATATCGCAATATATATCGCAGGGTTGAAAAAAATCACAATATTAGTTTTTTCCAATATCGTGCAGCCTTAGCTCTGACGTGTATTTAAAGAGTGAAGAAGACAAAGAAGAGGAAGGACTGACGACAAAGTGAGGGGAAAAAATGAACAGAAATGGAAATCACACAAAAACTTTAGGAGAAAACAAAAGAGGAGAGACAGAAGATGAAAAAGGGTTGAGAATAAAAGATTGAAGAACAGAGTAGTAAAGGACGGCAGAGGTGCCGGCCAGGATCACAGGTATAGCAGTAACGATATAAGATGCATTTTATTATACTTTTTTCCCACATCTTTAGTTTATGATCAGTCTGAATAACTTTTTTGTTTTATATTTTCTTCTTTCAGTGGACATGAGGCATATGATCATGACATAAGACAGTGACTTCAACAAGGCTAGTGGTAGGACAGTTGCATCATTAAAGGGTCTGAATTTTTAAGTGTTTCCTCCATGTCTTTAGCCAGCTTTGAATCAGTGGTAAGTTGAAGTAAAAAAAATGGTAGTTTTGTGTGCGTGGTAGCAAAACAAGACGGAAAAAGTAAATCGGCATCTGCACCCTCAGGGCTAAGCCCCTGATCACCTAGAATCCTAGATCTGCCCCTGCAAATAGAACTCGGGTTCTGTCTCTTCTTGCTCTCGTCATGAGGCTGCTGGTTTTAATAAGAAGAAACTGACAACAAGAAGTACGCCAGAGAACACTGCGCAATGCATGATGGGATGCCCACCACCGGTGAGTGACCATCGGATGGTCACTACATTTTGCAGTGCTCTATGGGAAATTTTGGGTCGCCTATATGGGGCACTGGAATTGATCACTCAGGTTTCAGACACCCCTCAAAATGGCGCTAACCCCTGTATAGTCGCCTATTTAGGGTTAGGGGTCCATTTAGGGCACAGCCTCAGTTAGGCCTGTCACGATAACAAATTTTTCTGGACGATAATTGTGCTACAAATAATCCCCAATAAACGATATTATTGACACCGTTTTTTTAATTATAGATATTATTATATGGCATAATAATGCGAGTACACCTTGTCAAAAGTGATAAACTTTAATTTCCGCTGTCTGTCAGCACGCACCATTTTGCGCTGTTTTGTTTATATTTGCTTTGCTTACCAAACGCTTCAGTAAGCGGTACCTGTCGGGACGATGGCTCCGCAGCACCTCCGGCGGTACTTTTTTTGCTCAGTTGGGAAAAATGGAGGGGATGATTGTGCTTGAGGTGCGCATGCATGTTCGTCATATTCCCCTTCTTTGTCACCACAACTTTGGAACAAATACGACATATCGGCTCGTCCGTATTTGTGGGCTCACCTCTTTCATTTGGTTTAAAGCCGAAATATTCCCACACGTGGGCTGTTGCGTTCAGTTTAGACAACAAAGCTGTCGTGTTCATTCTGTTTTACTTGCTTTTCACTCACGACGCTCACTTGCAGCACTGTATCTGTGTGCCTGACTGTGCGCGCCAGCCCCCTCGTGACAAAGACACTGAATGACTGACAGGAGGGTTCACTAACTCCGTTCATTCCGCTATAGAGCCAACGCCCCCAGGTGCCGAGAACAATGCGCAGAGTGAGACCTCTTCTCTCATCCAGCGTGTTTGGTAGCGAGAGAGGAGGAAAACAAACGCACGTTAATTATCGAGGCTGGCAAAATGACCGACCTCGTTTTTATTTACCGAGCGATAAGGCGATTTATTGATTATCGCGACAGGCCTAGCCTCAGTTAGATTCTGGATTTTTATTAGATCATCATCAGAGCTGGAGGTCAACATCAGAGTGAGAAACAGGAGAGTGAAGAAGGGACTGACAAACAACTGACAAACACTGACAGACATTAACAGACACTGACAGACACTAACAAACACAGACACAGACAAACACTGACAGACACTGAAAAAAACAGACAAACATAGACAGACACTGACAGACACTGAAAAAAACAGACAAACACAGACAAACACTGACAGACACTGATAGACACTGACAAACACAGACAGACACTGACAAACACTGACAGACACTGACAGACACTGACAAACACTGACAAACACAGACAAACACTGACAGACACTGACAAACACTGACAAACACTGACAGACACTGAAAAAAACAGACAAACACAGACAAACACTGACAGACACTGATAGACACTGACAAACACAGACAGACACTGACAAGCACTGAGACACTGACAGCCACTGAAAAACACTGACAAACATTAACAGACACTGACAACCACAGCACTGACAGACACTGACAAACACTGACAGACACGCACAAACACTGACAAACACAGACAGTCATTGAAAAACACTAACACTGACAAACACTGACAAACACTGATAAACACAGACAGACATTGAAAAACACTAACACTGACAAACACTGACAAACACTGACAAACACAGACAAACACTGACAGACACTGAAAAAAACAGACAAACACAGACAAACACTGACAGACACTGATAGACACTGACAAACACAGACAGACACTGACAAGCACTGAGACACTGACAGCCACTGACAGACACTGACAAACACTGACAGACACGCACAAACACTGACAAACACTGACAAACACAGACAGACATTGAAAAACACTAACACTGACAAACACTGACAGACACTGAAAAAAACAGACAAACACAGACAAACACTGACAGACACTGATAGACACTGACAAACACAGACAGACACTGACAAGCACTGAGACACTGACAGCCACTGAAAAACACTGACAAACATTAACAGACACTGACAACCACAGACAAACACTGACAGACACTGACAAACACTGACAGACACGCACAAACACTGACAAACACGCACAAACACTGACAAACACTGACAGACACTGAAAGACACAGACAAAGAAAAGGGGGAAAATCTCTGCCCTTTCTTTGCACAGATGTCCACATTTCGGATGTTTCTGCTGGAATGTGACCTGGAGATAAATGTGACATCTGGACTGAAGTTGTCTAGCTGCGGTCTCTCTCAGTGTCCTTTAGTGACCCGGTGTTTGTCTGTAATCCTCTTCCATATTAAAGTTATGTCATATAACCTCATTATGAAACTGACCCAAAATCTGAGACCAGAACCATCCTGACAAACCTCCAGGTTAGCTTTTAGCAGGTCAAAGGTCATTACTGCTTCATAAGTAACACTGTGTGAATGTTTCAGACTGAGGAATTAAAGCTTAAATAAAACTGACCAGACAAATTTATTAATATAAATATCAAAAAAGAGAGCTGACAGTGAGAGGAGGTCCTCACACCGCTGCTGATACTGGGTTGGGTTTATGGGGCAGAGTCACAGCACATGATTGACAGCAGGCTGAACCAATAACTCTGTTTAAAGACCAAAGGTCCTTACACATCGGAGCTGACGCGAATATAGAATGCGAAATTACGAAACATTCTGAGGCAAATTTTGACGCGCCTGACTATGTACATCAAGCCCAATGCGAATTTGCGACTTTCCGGGGGGAAAATAGACACATCCCAGGGAAGACTTTTCCCGGGGAAAGTCCCGCCTCCTTTGCTTCTGATTGGCTAGAAAAGCTGGAAATGTCATCACACGCTGAAGCCAAACGGTCAGCACTTATAGCCAATCAGAGGAGAAGGAGGGCGGGACCTTCCCTTACCATCATACCAGATAAGCACATGAAACTATGGTGACAACCATTAGCTTACATTAGCACAGGTGAAAGTTAAAACAAAGGTGAAAGTTAAAACAAAGACGTTTAGCAAACTGTTAAAGCACACAAACCATCGTCATATGAGAGATCCGACGCTATGACTCTCCACAAGTTGTCCTTCAGGTCATTATCTTTGTAATATTTGTGTTTTTTTTTATCAAAAAGCACTCTGTTCTCCCACACGTAAACAATCAGCCGGTTGGCCATGTTGGATATACCGGTGAATCAGACTTCATAACAACACGCAATCTGACTGGTCAGAAGTGGACACACAGTATGGTTAACTTTAGAAAAATCGACCATGATGTGAAAAAATAAATGCTGCAATATCGCAGGACGGGAAAACTTTCACAAGTACAGGAGAAAAATTACTTTGTCCACAGGGGGCATCAAACTGTACACAAACCTCACAGAAGAATAATAGACAGTTTCTGTCTTTTCTTTTTTAGATTAGTATAAATTATTGTTAACTCAGTCGGTAATCTCTGCATCAGTCCAGAATCAGGCTTACCTTCGAGTTAAACTCTGCATTCATAAACTGAGGAGGGTTAGGGGTTTTTGGTTTGTGGTCGGAGGAGAAGTTCATGAAGACTCATGAGGTCCACCCTGAGACCAGCTTGTGCTTCTGCTGAGACTAAAAACAGAGTTTAAGAGTAAACTGTCAGAAAAACATGATAAACATGTTTTCAAGCTTCAGACAGGGATGTCTGCTGATGTGGATGAATCATAAATGTGGACTTCATTAAAAATAAACCATGGCTACCAGTTTATTAACCAAGTTTACGACTGTCTCCTCTCTTGTTTTGATTTTTAAAGTTGACTCTAAATATCTTAATTACTTCGTTATCATGATGGAACTTCATCGTCACATGAATAATGAAGCTCTGATGACAGTCTGATTTTTTTTCCACATATATTAAGGTCAAGGTTTGTAATATAGACAGAGTAATATAAATCATTCTTTAATAGTGAAATTGTCAATTTCCAAATCAAAACAATTCTATCAGATTTCAACAGTAAATTAAGTTCTTCTGATCTTACGGAAAAAAACACAATGAATGCTTGACCATAAATTTAATTCAGCTCACAGTTAAAACACAAATGAGACCATTATTATTATTATTATTATCATTTCTTTCTCTACAAGCCTTCAAAGCAGTTTGCTGTGATTAAACGGTGTTGTCAGCTGTCTTCTATGTGTCCATTATAATTACAGTAATAATAATTGTTATTATTATCCCAGCTTTTAAAGCAGTTTGCAGTGATTGGACGGTGTTGTTCTCTGTTTTCAGTGTTTTCTCCATTATTCTAATAATTTCGCTGTATGAGAGTGGACCATAATCCTGCTCTGACCCGCCTCTATGTACCGGATTAGAACAAAGTCCAACACCAGGACCCAAATATGGGACCTGAACCAAACAGCAAACAGCCTTTAGAAGACACTGTATCCAACGTCAACAATGTCCACAGACACAGAGAGGACACAGACACAGAGAAGACACAGATAGAGCCCACTCCGGTCACACTCAGCTCTGAACACAGACACAGAGGAGACACAGACACTGGCCCTCATTTATCACTCTTTATCAATCCTACGATAGGACACACATGAGATTTATGAAATGGTTCGCATCTGACCAATCCCAGCGTACATATGATCGGGTCTTGATAAATGTGGCGGCTGAAATCGATCGTCATTAACATGTTTACGCCCTTAAATATTTGTGATTCAGAAGCCTCGCCCACTGAAGTCAAACATGAAAGGGGAGAAATATTAGAAAGATTGGAAACTTTTCCGAGCTGAAAGTCGATATCCTCGCGTGGTGGAAAATAACAAGGATTTACTTTTTGGAAGCATCAAAACTGGAATAAAAGCAGTCGAGAAAACTCCTGTCTGGAGCAGGATTATGGTGGCGCTGAACAGCGCTGCTGCAGAATAGCGGACAGTGGCTGAAGTTTAAATCAATCAGTCAATAAGTTGCTCATGATGATAAATTAATATCTCATACATGCCTTATATTTTTTATTGCCATGACATAGGGTACGTTGCTCCTATTATTGAAAGTATTTAGTTTTAATTTGTTGCGTCTTGTAATGTAGAGCAGACTGGAGAGTCTGACAGAGGCTGAACAAAAATAATTATTAACCTCACCAAACGGTGTGTTGCTGCCCCTGAGGCACATTTAAATGGATTTGTATTGGATTTTTATCACTAAATAAATAGCAAGAGCACTTTCTAAACTTATATTTACATGACTAAATCCATCAGTAAGGTCCTGTCTCCTCTGTACAGCACCTTTGTGGAGTCTCTCCTCATTATTGTTCTCTGGGCATCGGGTCTTCACGTTGCACCGGCACAGCCAACGGCACTCCATTCACCAGTGCAACATTGTGCAAAACTGTACTGGCCCAAATAATTTCCCACACCCTTTCAGGAGTGTACAACAACGTCCCCGCTGCTGGACCAAGATAAAGACACCTGCCTTTTAGGAGTCAAATGCAGCACTTCACAGTGGCACGTGTGCGCGCAATGTTAAAACGGCACTCCTGCTCTGTGGCAGTGTTTCTGGGCAGAGTTATCAAATAGACCTTTTCAATATTTTTTATTTCATTTTATTTATGTCTTAATCTTTATGAAATCTGGCTGATTGTGCTTAATGACAGATTTGAGGTTTGTTTTTCAATGATTTTGAGATAGACATTTGCTGCACTGCAGATCCACACTGACTCAAACTTGCGTGCACGATGTCAGACCTGTCGTTAGATTTGGTTGTCGCGTACGCTCACGTGCAGATTGATAAATGCCGATCCTCACGTCAAAATTTTCATGCGCAAGGTGTACGCAAGTTTTCTGCCGTACACAAGCTTGATAAATGAGAGCCACTGTGTCCAACATCAACACTGTCCACAGAGACAGAGAAGACACAGACACAGAGAGGACACAGAGATGACACAAGCACAGAAGACACACCACAGTGTCCACAGACACAGAGGAGACACAGCACAGTGTCCACAGAGTTTCTGCAGAAAATATCCGCATTTATGTTCAGATCAGGAGCTGTTCCTCCTCTGTCTTCTGGTCGACTTTGGTTAGTGATTTTACTGCAAAGTTTAAAATAATGATTCAGATGATTTCAGGCTGAGGTTTCAGAAACATGAAGTTAGTAAATCTGAGCTGAAATGAAGAAGGTCAAACTGGAGGATGATCTGAGAATTAAAGAATATACCTGACACAAAAATAAAGTCAAATGGAGTCAGGTCTGCTCCTCCTCTCTAAAGAAAGAAACCTGAAGATTCAACATCTGAACTAACTTGGGACTCATCTGCATCATGATGTTCTTCCCGATTAGGAACTGCAGGATGCTGAGTTCCAATAAACATGTCAGCAGATATTAACAGAGACAAACGCACAAGGAACCAATCAGAGACCAGGAACCAAACAGAGATCAGGATGCAGGGACAAGGAACCAGAGACCAGGAACCAGAGACCAAGAACCAAAGACCAGGAATCAAAGACCAGGAACCAGAGACCAAGAACCAAAGACCAGGAACCAAAGACCGGGAACCAAAGACCAGGAATCAAAGACCAGGAACCAGAGACCAGGAACCAAAGACCTGGAACCAAAGACCGGGAACCAAAGACCAGCAAAAAAAGATCTTAGACTCTGAGACCAGAGACTATTCTTCTCGTCTCCATTCTTTTCCTCCACTCTCTCTCTCAAAGGACAAAATGGACGAAATCCAGATGAGACATCAGAGTCAAATATTGAACTGACAGAGACAAAAAATACAGAAAAGACCGAAAATAAAGAAAAGATGAAAAATACAGAAAACACAAAAAAATACAGAATAGAAAAAAAAGTACAGAAAAGACAAAAAAATACAGAAAAGAAGAAAAATACAGAAAAAACGAAGACTGGAGATTCACTGAGAGAGATAGAGAGGAAGAGGAGGAAGCCTCAGTCTGATACACTAACACACACATATCTACATGAATAGAACATGAGGACAGCATTATTATTACAAGACCTCATTTACATCCATCTCTCTCTCTCTCTCTCTCACTATTTCTCTCTCTCTCTCTCTCTCTCCCCCCCCCCCCCCCCCCCCCCACACACACACACACACACACACACCAACACCACCATCCTTCTTTCATCCTCCTCAGGCTCTGCCCATTCCCTCATCTACACCTTCTCTCTTATCTTATCTATCCCTCCATCTCCACACCTCCTCCTGTCAGAGTCAGCAGCTCCATCCATCAATCTACATGTCATTAACATGCAGCACATGACTCACAACACCAGCAAACACACACGCGCGCACACACACACACACACACACACACACACCTATTTTTCCATACATACATTAAACAATTACACAAAACCTGTGGACCTGTCCCCGGAGAGATCAGGACTCCATCAAGACCAAACCGGACCAGAGTCCAGATCAGACTTAGACCGTGAAGGTCACAGGAACCAGAGCGAGAGGTTTGTTAAAAAAATAAACTAATTAATTTCAAAAAACACCAAAAAATAAAAAATAAACATGCAGTTGGAGTTATTTTACTGTGTTTGAGCTTTGAGAGGAGAGAGAGGGATGAAGGATTGTCATAAAGAAGGAGAAGAAAAGAAGAATGGGATGAGAAGAAGAAGAAGTTGAGAAGGTGAAGGATAAAGAAAAGAAAGATGGTGTGGAGAGGATCTGAAGTTTGGAGGAGTCTGTGTGTCCTCTTAGGGGTTCTGAGCGGGTCATTGACCTGTTCCATTAAATACTGAATTCTGATTGGTCCAAACCATAGACTGTATCTGGAATTGACGCCGTCTGCCTCCTCTCTTGGTTAAGCCTCTCTGAGAACAGCACCCTCTGGTGACGGGTTGCAGTATAGGTCATAAATCCCGCCTCCTTATGGAGTTATGAACAAACTTTATAAACTAGTGACACAGAATATTAATGTTTTTCCCCCCTGGTTGTGATGTTGACATGTAGTTACTGTCAGACTGGTTTGTCAATGTCAATGTCAATATCAAGTTTATTTGTATAGCACATTTAAACAGCCAGTGGCCTACCAAAGTGCTTTACAATAACGAAGCAGTATCAATAAAAGCAAGTCATACACAGCAAACAGCAACAACAAAAGACATGTAACATATAAATGTAAACAAAAACAAATAAACATTCATTTATTATAAACGAGTGTCAGACCCAGCAGAACCTGAGGTTTGAGCTCAAGTCCTCTTTTTTCTGTACAGCTCCATTTTTAAAAGTTAATAGGGGGTTCATGTTTTCTATGATTGACACTTGATACAGACTATGGGCGTATAGAGATTGCGTCGCTCACCCGGGGGATACGCTGTTCGAGCCGAGCATCATCACAGTGACTCTCCTGCTGAATGCGTACAACGCTGCTGAGCAATGTTGGTTTCAGGAAATGAAGAAAAAACGCAGAATTACTTTTCAGCTTCAAATCAGTATACTGGAGGAAGGAGGAACCAAGTTGTCCAGAGTGCATAGCAGTTTGTTAGTCAGTCTGACAAACTCAGGATCATGTTTATAATGTTTCTGCCCGCCTCTGTATTCTCTAAGGCTGCAACAACGAATCGATTAAGTAGATTCGTCGTGACGAAAAAATTAGTTGCCAACTAATTCTGTAATCGATTCGTCGGGTCTTTATATATGTGCATGGACACCGGCGTGTAAACATCAGCAGGATGCACAGAAAAGAAACAGCCATGGCCGAGGCAGCGGCTGAGAAAAACATGGACACAACCCAACCCAAATCCCGACCTAAAACATCAGTGGTGTGGGAAAACTTCACCAAGACTGAAAAGGAAGGCGTACTCGGGAGTACATCGATGATGCGTGAGCACAGGGCTCTCAAGTCTCACGCATTCAGCGTATGACACACGCATTCCCACTCGTTCACACGCTCACACACCACACATTGTATTTCTCACGCATTTAAATGAACACGGTGATGTCCACCAATTTGCACTTCTTCAACTATGGAACTGGGGGAAATCAACTGAGTTCCTCCGAGAGTTCAGAAGCTGCGTGCCACGCACAAGCCAATCAAATAAAGTATATCTACTGAACAGCCAATCAAAAAGCAGCATTGCTGTATCCGGGTAGATTTTGATATCTTGCGGTTTGACTACAGAAGAAGACAGACACTCGCCGAAATAGAGCAGGTTTTTATAAGGACGAGAAAGACCCGATGATTACAGTAAGTCAGTAACCTACACATGCAAAAACCTCAACACCTCATGGCAGATAAACTCATACGATAAACTAAAGCCCTATGCTATTGCTATTAACAGCTGCATTGATGAATTTAGCCTGTTTATCCGATTAATCGATTAGTTATTAAAATAGTCGGCAGATTAATCGATTATCAAAATAATCGTTAGTTGCAGCCCTAGTATTCTCCACAGCTCCTACTATTGGAGGGGGGGGGCTTTCAGACAAACAACAAAAGAGCTTCAGATTAAAATCCAGACCTGATAATGGAGAGAGAGGGAGAGAGAGAGAGAGAGAGAAAGACAGAAAGAGAGGACAGAGATAGAGACAGAAAGAGAGGACAGAGATAGACAGAGAGGAAGAAATAGAGAGAGGAGGTTGAGCGAAATGAACATCCCTCTCTGTCTCTTTTCAGATCGGCTCTTATTGATTGCTGTTGCCATGGTTACAATGCATGATTACTATGGGCTGCTGTGAAGGTGGACTGATGGAGGCTGAGCCGCACACACACTCACTGTCTGCAAAAACAGACAGTAAGTGTGTTTAAGGGTGGTACTGGTCTAACTTGGTCATTTCCTGAAGGTGTGACTGGAGCATCAGTGAAGGAGGAACTCTATCTCCCGAAGAGAAGAAGAGGAAGAAGAAGAAGAAGAGTATCGTCAGTGCCCATTCATTTATTATAAACGAGTGTCAGACCCAGCAGAACCTGAATCAGATCCTCGACTGAGGATTCGTCAGTGTCAGCACAAAGAGTCAGAAAGACAGAGAGAGAGAGAGAGAGAGAGAGAGAGAGAGGTGACATCTTTTGAATTGACATCTTTTTTTCAAAAAAATGTCAATTCAAAATACTCAATCACACACACTCAAAAAAATTCATGAATAAATAAATAAATATTCACATGAGCACATCTTCAAACTGTAAAATATTTCCTGCTACTGAGCACAACACCTGATTAAAACCCCAAACCTGCTGCAATGAGTCCAGATCTCCTCCTGCTTTGTAAAAATCAAAATCAATGAGGAGTCTGGACTTCATCATATTTTTACAAACAGTGACCGGATCAACAACAAAACCATCCTTCACCTTCCACCTGCTGCTTAAATACACTGCCATCCTGGCCTGCCCTAAAACAAAGTTTAAAAGCTGGCACTTGTTTTTGTGCTGGCGTGTGTATTTAAAACCCAGAATAAAAACCCGCTTGTTAAATACCTCTCCACACTTGGTAAAAACAGTTTGTAAAAACAGAAAGAAAGGTAAAAGACTCAGACATTCGTAAAAACAGTGAAAAATTGTCTCTCTCTGGGGGCAGTAGGGACACGTGTCCTCTACTGCCGGGTTAATGTTCGATATAAAAGAGTTCACTGTGATGACCCCATGGAGGACTCTCCAGTGCACATCTGCGTGTCTTTTTGAGAGTGGAGGTTTGTAGAAGGCCCTCCACTCAGGCCTGGTCTCAGGAGCCAGGCGCAGATAATTCCTCCATGGGGTGTCAGGTCTTTTTTCCAGTTTTCTTCTGTTTGTTGTTTTTACCATGATTTTATAAAAGGTTTTTCCTGGTGTGCCCTCCAAAGGGGCGGGGTGGTTAAAATCCAACAGCAGGCCAGAACAGTCTTTAAAATCTGGTGCCAGGAAAAGGGCAGGAAAGGGGTCTTCTTCGGTCATTGTCTGGGTAAAAGGGGAGTTTAAAAGCAGGCGGTCGTGTCCTGTGAGTCTCTGTCTCCAGTGGTCCAAGAGTTTTTGTGTGACCCTCATCGATGAAAGTCCCAGCCGGGCAGCAAGTCCAGAGGGGTCATCCATTCGAGGTCCCGTCACCTGCCCCAGAGTGATGATCCCCGCCGTCTGCAGTCTTTTCTCCAGACTCTGACCTGCCCAGCTGGGAAGGTCTAAACGGGTCCCCCACATGACCGGTTCCTGCAGGAGCCAGTGTTTTGAGTTTTTTGCTACGGAGCACAACACCTGATTAAAACCCCAAACCTTCTGGATTGAGTCCAGATCTCCTCCTGCTTTGTAAAAATTTAAATCAATGAGGAGTCTGGACTTCATCGCATTTTTACAAACAGTGACCGGATCAACAACAAAACCATCCTTCACCTTCCACCTGCTGCTTAAATACACTGCCATCCTGGCCTGCCCTAAAACAAAGTTTAAAAGCTGGCACTTGTTTTTGTGTTGGCGTGTGTATTTAAAACCCAGAATAAAAACCCGCTTGTTAAAAACCTCTCCACACTTGGTAAAAACAGTTTGTAAAAACAGAAAGAAAGGTAAAAGACTCAGACATTCGTAAAAACAGTGAAAAACAGAGAGAGACAGAGATAGACAGAGAGGGAGAGGGAGAGGACAGAGAGAGAGAGGAGAGAGATTTTTTATTTTAAAAAGCCCTTTATTTAAAATGCCACAGAGCGGATCACGTTCACAACAAAAAACAACAAAAACAAAAAAACTGTATGAAACCAGTCGACCTTCTAAAGTACTTTCTGTTGTTATAAAATATTACAGCCAAACACAATCGTCGACTCTCAGAAATTTAAAACCAAAGAGTTCTCCATGACCGAACACAGAACACCCTGTACACCCCATAATTTCACAAAGGTGTCGGTCGTATTAATCAGTCTGTAAAACTAGAACTCCACTCTGCATCCCAGTCACCATCAGCACCATATCCTCAGTACCCCCCCCCCCCCCCTTCTTCCCCAGGGTCTCCAGATAACCCAGCACTGGGGTCTGAAAGGACAGCAGGACGTCCCCCTCGTCCTGCCACTGACCCCCAGCAGGAAAGATTGTCAGAGAAGGAAAAGGATACCCAGCTCCATCCTCCCATTGATCCAGCACAGCCCTGTCTTCAGAAAAAGCTCTGAGGGCTCCTGGCAGCGACGTCCGGACCTCCTCCACCAGCCTCAGCAGCAGCCTCCTGGACTTGATGTTCAGCAGCTCAGACAGATGGGCCAATGGAGGTCTTTATGAGGTGACCCAGCTTCACACAGCCACCCTTCCTCAGTCTGGACCTCAGGCTGGCAGAGGACAGGGCCCGAGATGTAAAGAGACTGCTACCAAGCAGAGGTTCCTCCAGGATCCACATCCCCACCGTCCCAACGTCCTTCTGCTGGAACCTGAGAACCTGCCACGCCTACAGGACTGAGTCATAGAACGTATACCGGTCATATCCGTGGACCCGGGCGGAAGCAGAAACAGATGTTTGTCGTACCCCAGGCGTCCAGCTCTCCTCAGCAGCAAGCAGGCGGCGTCAGTCCATGGCAGGCCACAGCTGTACAGCAGTTTCTGGGCTGTCTGCAGCCTGAAGGCTGTGATCTGGGATGCAATGTTCACCAGGCCCTGCCCCCCTTGCTTTCAGCCAGTGCAACCAAGACCAGAAAATGTCCACAACTGCCCTCTGAAGTTCTTCCACCAGGCCCCTGGGTTGAGGCAGCACGATCATGCGGTGCCACAGGGTCGCGGCAGCCAAGTTGTTGACAATCAGGGTTCGTCCCCGGTAAGAAAGCTAAGGTAGCAGCCATTTCCATTTAGACAGTCTGGCAAACACTCTCTTCACAACACCCTCCCAATTCTTCGCCTGAAACTCCTCTGTCCCCAAAAAGACACCCAACATTTTTAACCCTTGCCTTCCCCAACCAAGGTTTCCTGGCAGCTTTGGAATGTCCCTGTCTGCCCACTGCCCAACCTGCAACGCTTCGCTCTTCCCCCGGTTAACTTTTGCTGAAGAAGCTCTTTTTATAAAGATTTAGACTACAACTCAGCAAATCAACGTCCTCCTGATCCCGCACAATGACTGTAACGTCATCCGCATAAGCGGACACTACCAGCGAAAGGTGCTGAGGCATCCCTGGCAACAGGAGACCTGACAGCTTGGCTCTTATCCTGGTCAGAAGAGGCTCAATAACTATGGAGTACAATATTCCAGAAATAGGACATCCCTGTCTCAACCCACCCCCCACTTTCAACAGACAGGAAGCATCCGTATACAGTAGCCCCACCTGCGATATAAACCTTTCCCCAAACCCAAAAGCCCTAAAGTGGCAAAGAGAAATCCATGGTCCACCCTATCAAAAGCTTTTTCCTGGTCTAAGGATATGATACCAACATCAATACTGTACAGTTTGCAAATGTCCAACAGGTCTCTCATCAGAAACAAATTGTCCATGATGGATCTGTCAGGTACACAATATGACTGGTCCCTCTGGATGATGAGCACCAGGAAATCCTTGAGCCTGTTAGCCAGCACCTTAGAGAAAACTTTGTAATCAGTGCATAGCAGGGCCACAGGCCTCCAGTTCTTGAGTAGAGTCAGATCCCCCTTCTTCGGCAACAGAGAAAGAACTGCACACCTACAGGATCCCGGCAACAGGCCTGTCTTGGAACACTCCTGCAACACCTCCCACAAATCGACACCAACACACTTCCAGAAGTGCTCGAAGAAATCAGCCGGCAGCCCATCCAGCCCAGGAGCACGACCAGGAGCCATCTGACCCACAGCAGCAGTAAGTTCCTCCATGGCAATTCCAGCGTCCAGGACTGCTCTTTCCTCAGGACTCAGCTGAGGAAGCCCCTGCAGCAGCTCTTCTTCACACTGTTGGTCACAGTCCTCCCTCATGAAGAGGTTGCTGTAGAAATCCACAGCATGCTGCTGGCATGCAGTTTCCCAAAGCGCTGCAACTCATTTATTTTCAAAAACCCTAATTGGAAATAAACGGCGGAACACCGGAGACTGTGACCCGGGTGGAGGGCACCGCGAGCGGGGAGACCTGCAGGTAAACACCGCCCACGGTGACCCCACTAGCTACCAGCTCCGCCACCAGTCTCTCCTCTTTCACAAACACCACTACACCTTTGTTTATCCTGGAGGCATAGGCGAGGTTGGCGTGTCCCACGCAGTCCCCCGCAGCCAGGAGAACCATCTCCACCGGGACCTATAGGTTGGGCTGGACCCACACGCCATGCCTCAAAGACAAAGACGCCGTCCCGGAGGACGCCATCTCCACTAGGAAACACGACTCGCCGGCCGCCGATCACCACCCAACCTCCATTAACGATCACACAATGATGGTTACCGGTTGCACAGTGACCAGAAAGTAGGAAACAGTGGAAAAAGTTATAGAGAAAACACACTCTCACACACTCACCACCTCCACACTTTCCACACCCAGCACTAACTCCAAGACAGAGAGAGAGAGAGAGAGAAAGAGAGAGAGGAGAGAGAGACAGAGAGAGAGAGAGAGAGAGAGAGAGAGACAGCTGCACAGAGAGTGAAGGTCTGAACTCTGTTTCTAACATTAACTCATGTTCTGAGGTTCTGAGGTTTTGAGGATTTAAGGTTCTGAGGTTCTGCTTTGCAGGATCTCATCTTCTCCTCTGTCTGTCCAGACCTTTTTGAATTTAAAAACTCAAACTTTCTGACCATCCTGGAGAGAAAGAATCAAATATTCAGTTCAAATGATCTGATTAAAATCTTTCATTTTTAATCACTAAACTCTAAACTGAGCCAACGTGAAGTTTCCTGATCCAGAACCTTCAGAACCTCCATATCCACACGTCACGTCTGTTTGCTTTATATTCATATAAATACTGTTTAAATTCATTTATTATCTTCAAAGTATTCAATTATCCTGAAAGTGTGTTATAATCTTTAGAGTGTTTTGATTTCATTTAAAGTCTTTAAAAGTTTTAGTGTCTTAAAAGTGTTCATTATCTTTTACTTGTTTTGTTTTCTGAGGTGTTTTATGATCTTAAAGTTGTTTTATTATTTTAAAGGTGTTTCACTGTCTATAGTTTTTTATTTCCCTGTCATCTTCTTCTGACTCTATAAAATGTGTTTTTTATTTTTTTGTTTTTTTGTAATAAATAGTTCACTGACCCTCCCGCTCCTCATTCTGGTCTTAATGTCATTAGAGTAAATCAGGTTAAACTTTAATTCAATCACGACTTTATTAGTGAACACGAGGATTCACTTTAACATAATTATTTTTTACAGTTCAAACGTTTAACTCTTATTTTCCAGATATAAAAGAGTTCATATGAAAATAAAAATCAAAAAATTGAATTTGGATAATCTGAGGATAGAAGAGCGATGGAGTTACTGAGACTTCAGCCGCCATCATAACTGTGTGAGTGCGAAAGAGTTTTTAATTTTAGGGAAACGACTCGACTCTGAGAGAGACTAAAGGTTACCATGGAGACGGACGAGAAACAAACAAACCCTGAGAGGAAGAAAGAAAGACAGTTTGTGTGTGTGTTTGTGTGTGTTTGTGTGTGTGTGCTTTCTCTCTCCCCTCTAAATATCATCAGAATTAAATAAAACTGTACGTAACACTAGATATGGATGTCTAAGAGTGGACTACATGTGTGAGGAGAAGTTTGTGCTCCTGTGTGTTTGCAAAATTAATAATAACAATAATAATAATAATACTAATAAGTATTTTATTATCTGCACCTCTCTAGGTTGGTGGTAATCATGGCTGGAAGGAACTTCAAATGACAGAAACTGAAGCTGAGCTGAAAACAAACCAGATTAACAAACAGACCAACATAAATAAGAGAGAGGACCAAAATTAAGCTTCTTTCTCTCCTCCTGCTCTCTCTCTCCTCCTCCTCGCTCTCTCCCTCCTTCTCTCCTCCTCCCTTTCCTCTCTCTTTCTCCTCCTCCTCCCCTCCTCCTCTCCTCCTCCTCCTCTCTCTGGCCTCCTCCTCCTCCTCTACTCCTCTTCTCCTCCTCTTCTCTTCCTCCTCCTCTGTCTTCCATTCTCTCCCCTTCTCCCTTCTCCCTCCTCCTCTACCTTCTCCTCTCTCCCCTTCTCCCCTTCTCCCCTTCTCCTTCTCCTCTCCTCCTACATGGGCTCTGTCCTTGGCTCTGGAGAGGTGACCAATCAGAAGACAGCTTGCTCTTCCTCCTCTTTAATTAAAGTTTAGTTGGACGATTAAAGACACTGTACAGATCTGATTGAATAACAGGAGGAGTGACTGATGGCCCGGAGTGTGAGTGTGTATGTGTTTTTCATGTGTTCATTGTTTGGATCCAAACTGCATCATTTATCAGGAATGTGTGTGTGTGTGTGTGTGTGTGTGTGTGTGTGTGTGTGTGTGTGTGTGTGTGTGTGTGTGTGTGTGTGTGGGTCAGGATGAGGAAACAAACACACACACACACACACACACACACACCAACATGTAGTGTCTCCTTTGTAATTCATTCTCTCCTCAGCAGATCCAGGACTCCGACTTCAGGATTTAACTCAAGGTTCTGGACCATCATCATCCTCAAACACTCTGACCTCAACCCAGAATCATCAACCAGGAACCATCAACCCAGAATCATCAACCCAGAAACATCAACCCAGAATCATCAACCTGGGTCTGACAAATACAGAAGAGCGAGAAACTTAACTTCTCTGAGTGCAAAAGCACCAGAAACCAGGTCCACACAGAACCAGAACCAGAACAGTTGATTTTGGAGCAAAAGTAAACAGGTTTACAGCCTGCTTCAAAAAGGATATACGATCAACCAATCAGAGGCACCGCTGACTTGACTGACAGCCAGGCACACTGTAACATTTGGCCAGGAGGGTAACGACCCTTCCCCTTCCTCAGAAGTTAAGAATCACCAATCCAGCAAACGCCACCAACTGGATCAAACCTCAGAGACAGACAGACGTCACCAATGCCAAATACAGCGCCGACCATACAGACAAGAGTCAGAGAGACTTTAACATCTGTGTGTGTGTGTGTCTGTGTGTCTGTGTGGTTGAATCATGAGCAGAGAGAGTGTGTTACCTGGAGTGTGTAGAGTCTGGTGTTGTGTTCAGACCTGCAGACACACAGAGACAGAGAGGAGATGTTAACAGACACCGTGAACCACAGACTGAACTAACTAAGCTGTATGTGAACGATGTGTTGGAGGAACAAGTGCACCAAATCAAACTTGTAGGAATCGTTTTCTATAGTAAACTGACATGAGTGAAACATATTGAGACAGTTATCAATAAAATGGGCAGGAGTCTGTCGGTGATCAGGTGATTTATTACCTGTAAATGTAAGAGGAAGTGTAATTCAAACTTTGGTGTTATCACACCTCCATTATTGTTCAGAGGTTTGGTTGTGAGCTGCTTCATAACTTATAAAGAAACTGAAAATATCTCAAAACAAGTCAACGTGATATTTACTTCCCTGTCCATACAGAAACAATGTTAGTAAAATACAGAACTGTCTTTCCTGGTTAAATGTTAAAAACAGATTTTCCGCCTCATTAGCAGCTTTCATTAAAAGACTATCTGTGACAAAATTACCAAGGTTTCTTCACGATTGTTTGTGTTTCTGTTCAGACGAACACGGTTACAAAACAAGACATGCAACAGAGGGTCAATTCACCCAAAGTAAAAATAAACAAAATTAAAAGTACAGTAATGTATAGAACCGTGGTGATATAGAATCCTCTATCCAAGAACACAGTGAGTGACAGTAATCAAAAGACCGCCATGTGCCCCCCTCCCATCCCCCCATTCTCCTTCTTCTCTTCAATTTCCTCCCTCTGCTGCAGAAGCATGACCAGCATACTGATGGCAGGATTACACACACACACACACACACACACACACACACACACACACACACATACACACATACAGAGAAGTAATGACTTTCTGCCTCCTCTCTCAATTCGCTCTGCGCTGCCAATTCCCACTGGGAAACGTGTGTGTGTGTGTGTATGTGTGTGTGTGCGTAAAGACATGAGGTAGTGATACAACATCTCCAATTAGCCGAGCTGGTGGTCTGTTTGTGAGGGTCAGAGTCAGTCTGACCCAGGAACTGAAAACAAGACCACACACAGCTGAGGACCTGAACCTGGACCTGAAACTGGACAAAGTCTTCAGACTCTATGGGACTGTAGTCTCATTTCCTTGTTGTGGACTAAAAATGAGCCATTAATAAACCAGGTCAGTAAAGACAACAGAAAACTAGAGAGACTATCAACAGAGAAACTGAGACTCTGTATAGACAACAGGAAACCAGAGAGACTATTAACAGAGAAACTGAGACTCTGTATAGACAACAGGAAACCAGAGAGACTATTTACAGAGAAACTGAGACTCTGTATAGACAACAGGAAACCAGAGAGACTATTTACAGAGAAACTGAGACTCTGTATAGACAACAGGAAACCAGAGTGACTATTTACAGAGAAACTGAGACACTGTATAGACAACAGAAAACAGAGTGACTATTAACAGAGAAACTGAGACACTGTATAGACAACAGGAAACCAGAGAGACTATTAACAGAGAAACTGAGACACTGTATAGACAACAGGAAACCAGAGAGACTATTAACAGAGAAACTGAGACTCTGATGAACAATTTTTCAGTGAGGTCTGAACAGAATCAGTCTCATGACTGGTTCTGTCTCTAAGAATATGAGAAGAAGATGCCATTGTAACCGTCACCTCAACTACCAACAGGTATATCCTGCAGTACATGAAGAACTCCGAAGACCCTCATTTGAAAGTGTCTTTACTTTTTTACCTTGTCTTGTCCGTCTGATTCACTGTTAATGGAGCCCAGAGGACACACACACACACGCGCACACACACACACACACACACACACACACACACACACACACACACACACTCTGTAAACCTGACCTGCATTTCTGACACTTTATTCTGACACAAACTGCAGAAACAGAAACAACATACTAAAACACGGCGATTGTGTTCATTGACTTTGCCAGTTGAAAATATCTGAACTCAAACCACTGTTGGCGTTGGGATAACCAATCAACACGGAGAAACCCTGGTGACGTATGTCATCATCAGATCTGCAGAGATTTACCAATGGAGACGGTCTGAGACTCTGAGACAGGAGACAGTTCAGCTGGAGGACAGAGAGTCAGGAGGTCCACAGATCCTCAAAGTGGGATATCAACCTCTCTATGGTCACTATGGAAACAGACGGGAACCCCGCCTCCTCGCTGTAACCACACCTGTGATTGGATGCGCTGCAGATGGGATACAAACATGCCAATTAAAGCAAGTCGATGATTAGTCTGCGTTAAGTGTAAAGATCAGGATGATTGTTAAAAACGACTTTGAATCATAAACAGCAGGGCACAGTTTTTATGTTTCTGAATAAATTTATGTTTGTATGTGAACAAACTTTAGTCTGTAGACGATCTGCAGAGACTCTTTCAGAAAGACCTCCATTCAAACTAAACCTCTCTCTCTCTCTCTGTTTCTTTCTCTGTCTTTCTCTCTCTCTCTCCCTCTCTCTCTGTCTCTCTCTCTCTGTCTCTCTTTCTTTTTTACTCATTCTTTCAGAAAGACCTCCATTCAAACTAAACCTCTCTCTCTCTCTCTCTGTGTGTCTCTCCATCTCTCTTCTCTCAATCTCTCTGAAGGTCAGTCACTCTGAAGCAGCGGTCTGTAACGATTATCTATAACATCAATTATGCTACAGCAAAGGAGGAAGGGGAGGATGGGGGAGGGTGTATAATAAACCAGCTCACTGAGCGTAAGGACCAATCACATTATTTAAGTCTGACTGGTCTGAGGACCTGAGTGAAGACAGAAAGATCAGTAAAAGGTAATCAGCTGAGTGGTCAGCTGTTCAGATCAGCTGATGCTCTGTGGGCGGAGCTTAACTTTGGTGTCCTGCCTGAACTAGCACTGTACCCCCTTTAAAGTTTGATGAAGCTGGGTCAAAGGTCACCATTCACCCTCCTGAAGAAGAGGAAATTACATACAGTTGATGCTTCACACACACACACGCACGCACGCATGCACACACTTCAAACCTTCTAAATGAATCAGTGTAAAATAGGAGAGTGAGAGAGAGTGTGTGTGTGTTTGCTGCAGGTTCAAAGGTCATCAGGCTGTGTTGCCATGGCAGCGACCTTGCAGTGGGGCAGATCAGCTGACTGTGTGAGATGATGTCATAGTGTGTTTGACCTTCTTCCTGTTTATTAATGGCGGTATGTTAAACTCATGTTTCTCTGCTGCAACCGTTAGAGACCGAAGATTCACCGTTTCCTTGATGACACAGAGGAGAGACTGACACATAAAATAACATACTCATTTATTCATTTATTCATCCACTGTCTCAACAAAAGAAGATTTACGACAACAAAGAGACACCAGCAGTAAAGAGCTCATCTCTATAAAATCAGATCATTTTCACACTTCCTCACTTGAAATTAATCCTATTCACCGAGTTCATAATCAGCACCAGATTACACTCAGTATAATAATCCATGACACTGAACAAAAACTGCAGGTTCAGGCTGAATTCTGTTCTTAAGGGCCAAAACTTCAATATTGTCACGATTTTCAAAACCTCAAAACTCATCAGCCGTTATCTGAGCTCTGTTTACACCTCTTGAAATAAACGGTCAACCTTTAAAAGCATGGAGGTTGTCAACACTAAGAAATAAAAATCTTCAGGTCCAGACTTCAGTGTTAAGTAAACTGACCATTTAGAAACTCAAGAACTGAGAACTGAGAATTCAGAGTCAAAGGAAAATCAGAGAAGACTAAAGATAAACAGAGAACTTCAGACCTATATAGACCTCCATCGATCCGTCTGAGTCTTAAGTTTCTCTGTAAATCGTCTCTCTGTTGTTTAGCTCAGAGTTTAAATGTTTTACTTTCAGAACTAATAAGTTTGATTTTGATTAATTTGATCATCCCCAGTGGTGCAGGGACAAGAACCTGCTCCTGAAGACCACCAAGACAAAAAACACCACAGCCATGATCGAGAAGGTCCAGCAGAGACTCCTCAAGAAAAACAACAGAACCTGCTGCAGGTGTCCTTCTCCTGCTGCTCCATGGAGGTCCTGATGGTTCTCCAGAAAAGACCTCCAAAGTGTCAGTAACGCAGACCAGAACATCATCAGCCTCTATAGAGTCTACAGCATCCTCAAAGACCCCTCAGAGACAGGGGTCAACACCAGTTTGAACTGCTGCCCCCCTCAGGTAGACGATAGAGGACGATCAAAGCAAAGACGAACAGGTGAGAACTGTTTGAACCAGAAATTTCAAAAAACCTGAAAACACAGAAAACTGACCTGAGAGGACAGGTGAACATCTAAGCGGTGTTGTTCACCTGTCCTCTCAGGTCACCTGTCGTCTGAGGACAAACAGACTTGATCTCACAGAGTGAAACCTGGTTCTGGTTTCTCAGTCCAGTTTAAGTGTGTTTTTGTGTTTCTGAGGGAGGAAAAACGGAATATTAAATTTATGATTTTTATAAAATCAGAGCTCAGTGAAAACACTTACTCCCTCTTTTCCTTTTTTTCATCCTATTTTCTCTCTGACTGACCTCAGCGGAGCTCAAACACACTCCCACATGCTCTGCAAGCAGGAAGCAATAAATACACACACACACACACACACACTGCTGCAAACAAGTGTAACACAGCCTTCAAACTACAGCAGGGAAAGTGGAGCAACAGAGAGGGGGGGGGGATAGGGAGAGAGAGAGGGATAGAGAAAGAGAAAGAGAGACAGACAGACAGAGAGAGAGAGAGAGAGGGAGACAAAGCTGTTCTGACCACAGAATCTGACACACAGTGAAGTAGAGCAGAACTGAAGAGACTCTCACATACTCTCTCTCTCTCTCTCTCTCTCTCTTTCTCTCTCTCTCTCTCTCTCTCTCTCTCTCTCTCTCTCTCACAGGGATGATGAGCTCGGTCTCTCCAGCAGACACACAGTGGTTCTGTTTAAGGAAGTAGACTCTTTATATAAATGTCAGTCCTGTACCTCTTCTTCTTCTTCCTGCTGCTGCTGCACCTCCTCCCTCAGGACCTCCTCTCTGTCGGCAGGTGTCGTCCTCCTCTCTGACCCTGCTGCTGCTGGACGAAGAGGAGGAGGAGGAGGAGGAGGAGGAGGAAGGCACAGACGACGGTCCTCTTCTCCTTCAGCTGCTGCGACTTAAACTTGAGTCTGACACGTCTTCCTGTCTGCAGAGACGAAGAGTTCCTGATCCCAGAGAAAAGAAGAAGGAGGAGGAGAGGTTTTCTTCGCACTCGTTTTTTCGTGCTCTCTGACTTTCTTACACCCTCCCACTCTCCTTCCTTTATCTCCCCCACTCACTCTCTATCAACGTCTAACGGCGTCCCAGAGTTCCTCGGAGCAGACGCCGAGACACCGCCGCTGCTGCTAAAGCCATCTGTTGCAACAAGTCTGCCTCTGCCTGCTTCTCCACTTTCACTCTCTCTCCCTCCCTCCCTCGATCTCCCTCTGCATGAGGGGGAGAGAGAAAGAGGAGGGGGGAGGAGCCATGAGGGGGAGAGAGCGAGAAGAGGGGGGAGGAGCTTTGTTCTGCTGACCAATAAGATGGCAGAGAAATCCCTCTGCCTGCCTGGAACAGGAGGAGCGAGCAGCCGAGAGTACAGAATGAAATAAACACACACACACACACACACACACACACACACACACACACACACACACACACACACACACACACACACACACACAGGGGAGGTGTCCATGAGAAGAAATAGACACACAGAAACAGACTGCGGCCAAAGGTTTATGGACAGTTTCTCCTCACTTCTGCTTCTTCTCTCTGTTTCTGCTGAAAATCTAAATTCAGGAAATTTTCAGACTAAAGCTCGAAATCTGAAAATGCCCTCCGTGTTGTTATAAACTATTATAGACTGTTATAGACCGTTGTAGATTCTGAATCTGAAATTTCCCTCCATGTTCCCACAGTCACTCTGACAGTAAAAAGGTTTCTGTCTGTGAAGAAACACGCTGAGTAAACAATAAACATGACAGCTTCAAACTCTACAAACCTGCCTGATTTATTAGAGATATCTAACTCATTAAGAATCATGTCCTCACTGTGCCAAACTAAACCTCTAAACCACTTCAATCCCTGCACTGACGACCACTCATCAGGCCTACAGACTTTAGGAACTTATTTGGGAGAAAATGTCCTCCTTGAAGTTCCTTACACACCGGGACCATTTTTGTCGTGCGATTATTTCGGACGTCAATATTTTTTTTCGAACCCATATCCTGTCAATACAAGCCTTCACATCAGCAATGTTTTCCTGTCCTGGGATATTGCAGCATTTATTTTTTCGGATCATGGTAGATTTTTCTAAAGTTTCGCATACTGTGTATCCACTTCTGACCAATCAGATTGCGGGTTGTTGCAACGTCTGATTCACCAGTATATCCATCATGGTCGACTTTTTAATAAAAGACACAAACATTACAAAGATAATGACCTGAAGGACAACTTCTGGAGAGTTATAGCGTTGGATTTCTCATATGAAGATGGTCTGTGTACTTTAACAGTTTACTAAACGTCTTTGTTTTAACTTTCATCTGTGCTAAAATAAGCTAGCTGTTGTTACCATAGTTTCATGTGATTATCTGCTACTGGCCGCGACTCATTGCATGCTATCATGACAGACATCCATCTCAACACTTGTGTCTAGTGTCTAGTCCTCTGCCTCTTCAAACTTGGAGCTAATTGTTAAAGCAGAACTTCAAATTGTCCAACAAACATCTGAAAATAGGTTCTGAAGCGACCGTGGTACAGTTCCAGCTACTGAACCAAGCTGTGAAACTCACCAAGTTCTTTTCTTTTTTGTAATATTGGATGCACCCATGTGCTACGTTTTTTTTTTTTTTTTGAGAAAGCAAAAGGAGTACAAATCACTTGTATTTGAAGTACACTCCATTTTTGTCTTCTTGCTTCCATCCGTGACGCTGTAGGGTGCTCCTTCGCCTCTGATTGGCTACAAGTGCTGACCGTTTGGCTTGAGCGTGTGATGAAGTTTCCAGGTTTTCTAGCCAATCAGAGGCAAAGGAGGCGGGACTTTCCCCCGGAAGTCTTCCCTGGAATTCGTCTTTTTCCCCCCAGAAATATTTATTGATTTCGCATTCCATATTCGTGTCGGCCCCGGTGTGTAAGGACCTTTAAAGGGGTATTCCACTGTAAAATTAATTTAGGAAATGATCATAAATGTTCTTCCTTAACAAGAACATCGCCACTCTGTTTAATCCACAAGAACAAGCGGCTGCTGTAGGTGAGTTGTGTTTAGTCTCTTTGCTAAAGAAATTGGTCAAAGTTAAAAAGATGTTTGGTGGCTAGTACTATGGCTGGGACCCTATATGTACTATTGATGAAGTTAGGTGCTGTTTTGAGCATTATTTGTGGCTATAGAGTGGTGTTTTGGTTGAGGTGTGTTTATGGCTCCTCAGACTGCTATGTATTGCTATCCTGCGGTCGTTACTAAAGTTGTTATAACTAGAGAAGCAAGCGGTCGGCAACATTCATCTTTGGAGGTGGAGTCTAAGGGGGGGTCTGTGTTACAGTGTGTTGGACCGAACTTAATTTTACACCTGAATATCCCTTTAATGTGCACCTCCCCTCAAATAAAATCAACCGAAATGAGAATCAAAGGCAGAACCCCTCTCTGCTTTAAAGACATCTGAAATTTACTTACACATCTATATATTATATATAAATTATAATATTAACACTCATTAACACAGTTACAGATGAGACTATTCAAGTTATGGTGCTAAGGCTCAGACTGGTATAGACTTAGATTCTTATAGACTCTCATAGATCATCTACAGAAAGGGGCAGAGCCGCCTCTTTTGCCTGAGAAGACTCCAATCTATAGACATCTGTAGTTAGAAACTGCAGATGTTTTATCAGTCTGTGGTGTAGATCTACAGTGTTCTGTTCTACGCTGCAGTCTGCTGGGGAGGAAGCAACAAACACAAAGATGAAGATAAAGAAGGATCGAGTAAGTTCTTGTATTGATTGATCGGGGCTCACAAAAACAGAATGTCAGACGGGTGACTTTAAAAACACAAAAATCAGGTTTATACTGGACTCAGACCAGACCTGGAGTGTGTGTGTGTGTGTGTGTGTGTGTGTGTGTGTGTGTGTGTGTGTGTGTGTGTGTTTAAAACTCAGACCAGAAGGACCAGAAGGACAGGAGAGGAATGGTACCATCTGGAAAAATGCAGAGTGACTGCACACACACACGCACGCGCACGCACGCACGCACGCACACACACAGTGCTGGAGCCCCTCTGGGTGTTTGAGCAGTAAAGCATCCTGGGAAAGCGACGGTCCAGCTGCTGCAGCCTGCAGCGTGTACAGACAGAGAAAAGCTGCACATTAAATCAGAGACAGAAAATCCTGAGAGTCAAAACCAACGAGAGTCTGAGACCAACAGATGAACAGAGGAATTTAAAAAACAAACTGAAGATTAACCACATCGGGACAAAATCAGAGAGTCTGAAACCAACAAATCTGAGAAAAAAACGAATTGAGAGTGAATCTGAGAAAAAAACAGATAGGAAAGTGTTAATGACAAAAAAAAAAAACCACCTGAAAAAGACCTGGATCAGAACCAGTCTAAATCAGAACCAGAGCCTGAAACAGGATCAACGTCTGAATCAGAATCAAAATCAGGATCTGAACCAGATTCTGACCCTGAATCAGAAATCCAGTCCACAGGTGTATTAAAGTTTCAGGTCAGCAGTTTTGCTCTCAGTGCTTGGGTCTGGAGGAGGACCTCAGTTTAATCGCAGAGGAAGCCGTCGTTAGTCGTGGCGTGAAGATTTAGAGCAAAGACACAAGGAGGAACAAACAAACAAACGAGCTTCAGTCTCACTTTCTCTCTCAGATTTAGACTGACATGAATCAGAAATCAACATCAGTCCATCTGATTGGCTGTCCTCACCACTAATCACACAGTCCATTATTACACAAATGACAATAAAAATAAGGATTACAATTGATCAAATCTGTTAACACAATGTCCTCATATCCAGCAGGGGGTGCCCTCTCTGGTTTTCTTTACTGAAAAAACAAACTGAACACTTTACTGATTTTAACAAAACCTTAACTCAATTTACTTTACAGAACTTTGTGTAACAAAAACCCAAAGTTAACAGCATGACTCAGTCAGACTAATTTGAGCTGATCTAATTTATTATGGTGCTATCAGGTGATCCAGACCAGAAAGTGGGAGTCAGACAGGTGAGACCTCACTCAGACAGGTGACGAACATGGTGACCCAAAAACGATCAGAAGTTCTTAAATACTAAAAAATACTTTGTTTATGGCAGAGCAGTGGATTAAACAGAGTGGCGACACTCCCATAGGCATACGCTGTACAGCCCGATGGACCCCACTTCCGGGTTTTGGAACTCTCAATAGTTCCAACATGACCGCTTGTCAAGTCGGACGCCATTCGCTTCTATGGCCACAAGGCAAGCTCTCACCGAGGTTAAATGATAAAATATCAACAAGTTTAATGCCAAGACGTGTGTTATTGATATCGAGGGGACCCCTTTACATGTAAAAATGTATGTCCCAAATGTAATTACGTTTTTTTAGTCAGGAATTGGGATCGATTTTTTTAGCCACGGCTTGCTCTCACACTCCCCAAAGTAAAATATTGTATCAACGAATTTAATGCCAATACGTGTGTAAATGGTATCAAGGGACCCCTTTATATGTAAAATGATTTTAATTTTAGTATGCTCAAATTGTAATTACAAATGTAACAACGTTTTCTTTAGTTATTTTAGAATTGGGATCGATTTTTTTAGCCACGGCCTGCTAGTTGGACGTCGTCAGCTGTAGAGGCCTGGCAAAATTTATTGTGTGACTGAGTTATGAATCACAGATAAATCATCATTATCAATCATATGTTGAGATGGTTACTTACGGGCTTTATTTTAGATTTCAGCCTTTATCAGTACCCAATGGTATGTGCAATTTATTCTTTTAAGACTAACAAAAGTGCTATGTAATTTGATTTCTGCTTATGTATACCATGGGATGATAGAGTAAAGGGACCGCTACTTTTTAAATCCTGTCAGCATTTAAGGCATATGTTTAACAAGACCAAAACATAGCACAATTGTTTAAACAGCTTGTAACACCTGTTACTTACCACTTTATTGTATTATTTTCTCTTATTAAAAAGTAACACCTGTTCCTAAACTTGCCTTATTTCACTTTTATTTGTCATCCAGCCACTAAATATATGTAAGTGACTTTGACGTGTACACAGTAATCCAATAAGAGTTGCAAATGTTGACTTTTTACGGTTAATTCTAATATTTACTTCTTAAATGCGCGCTCACTGCAGTCTGTCCCATTGAAGAGCATGGACAGTGCAGGCTGCGCTTGGAACTATTGAGGGGTACATGAACCACGTGACCGCTCTGGCGGCAAGATCTGAAGTTGTCGCCACTCGGTTTAATCCACTGCTCTGGTTAACGGTGAAGACTTTTTCCATGTTTATAGATTGGCTGAAATTTTATTATATTTATTGAAACAAACAGGACCATCAGAAAAAAGACTGACTGATTTTTAATGAGGTTGTAGCTGTAGTGGCCCAATGCCTTAAAAAAGCTTTCTCCTTTTTCCCCTCCTTTGTGTCTGTTTGTTGGAATGGCTTCCTTTTCACAGTCATCACATGCGCAAGATTTCAAAAAACAAATTCTTGGAGAGCTGGAAGCTGAAGTTGCCTTGTGTTTTATTGCAAACGTAAATATGTGAATGAATGAATAACATAGATTATTTAAACAATAAATCCCAGCTTAAAAGCCTGCAGTTGATGACAATTGGAGCTGTGAGCCGTCATCTGGCCTTGGGTCAGCTGCTTCTACTTATAGGTGAGTGCGCCCTCACCACCTGCGGAGGGCGCATACAAAATTAAAGGTCAACAAAAACAAAATTCAGCTATGTTAATAAAAACTCCAATGTGGCTCCTACAGTAGACGTCGGTCAAACATCCTGTTTTTACGATGAATTTGACCATCAAACGTCATCAGGACAAGGACTCAGAGAAGAAAAGACTGATTTAGTCATCAGCACCAGAACTGAAACACACCAAAATACAACCTTTTTTACGTCTGTATGTTTGTGTATTTTTTTGTCTTCCCCAGCTCTGCCCAGGTGGACCTGAAGGGTCCAGAACCAGGACCTGCAGGAGGACGAGGCTTTAGGACCTCCTGCCCCTCATTTAGGGGATCTAGGTCTTTGGGTTCTTGGTGTTGGAGTTAATTCGTTAATTTGTTCTTGAGTTGATCGACGTGAATTCTTTGTTTATAATAAATCACCAGGTGAACTTTTAATGGCTGTTGGCTCCACTTTCAGGTGGGGTCTCTAAAATCAACTTTATTTAAATCAGTCTCTCTTCTTATTGATTCTCTGTTCATATTATTGAGTTATCCCTCGTCTACCTTTTTAAACCAACAGATTTTTGTCCACTCCTCATTAAGAGAAACGAGCCTGATGTGTTTCTCTGACAGTGAATGTTGCCAACAAAAGAGATTTTTGACCTGAGGTTTTGAGAGGTTTGTGCTCATATTTCCTCTAGAAAAACTCTTGATGTGTTTTCAATCAAGTAGAAATGAGGGTGGTTCACAAATGAATAGACGACGTCCACAGTGACCATCGAGTGGCGAAGCTAAAAACAGCACCAATCACAGCCCAGCTCCACATTCAATACTTGAGCTTCTTTTCAGCTTAGTTAGAAAACACTGTTGGACATAAATCCTGTTCACTAGGGAGTGTTGATTTTCTTTTCAGGCTCCCGGCGGGCTCTGAAGCCATCAATAACATTGACAAAAGAGACAAATGGCCCAGGCTGCACTCGGACTCTAACAGCAGAGTCTGTTAAAACCATGGCTGTCTGATCCACCGGACTGAGATCCTGAATATGGGTTCAACCTCCAGACATCCTGAAGAATCAACAACACACAAAATCAACCATAATGAGAATAAGAGTGTTGAAGGATTATTATCAGATTACTGAGTTCAACTCGATCTAAGAAGTGCAGATATTTAAGAGCTACTTCAAACTGACCCAAAGTCACTCAGTAAGTCCTGCTCATTAAAACAGACTGATACAAGATTTCAGGGTTTAGTTAGTTTTCAGACCTTCTCTACATTCAAATGGTTAATCTTTACTCAGGGTCGGGTTTTAGCATAGAGAGGACTCTGATTTCTAAATGCATATGAAGTCTGAGAAGAAGCAGCCAATCAGGAATCAGCAGGTATGAAGTCATCAGTCAGTATGAAGAGAAGAAGAATCAGGAGGAACAGAGTCTGACCACCAACACTGCTGCAACACAGAGAGGACAACACTGAGAGAGAGAGAGAGAGAGAGAGAGAGAGAGAGAGTGTGTGTGTGTGTGTGTGTGTGTGTGTGTGTGTGTGTGTGTGTGTGTGTGTGTGTGTGTGTGGTGATGAATGAGCATGCTTGCCCAGCGGGGTAATTCATTTCTCAACCTGAACAACACTTCCTGTCAGACCGAGCGGGATTAATGGAGGACAACAGACACACACACACACATACATATACATATACATATACACACGCGCGCACACACACACACACTCACACACAGAGCAGAGTTTCTCTGTGTTTTACAAGAAATAATATCATAAGGCATCGAGCTCTTGATGACATCATTCCTGTTGGACCAATCAGATCGTGAGTTGACCAGTGGGCAGCGACAAAGAAGAGTCATGTGATTTAAAGGGCCAGTTCACTAAAAAGCAGAAACATGAAGAAGTCTGACGACTTTGAAAAGTCCTGACAGAGTCTTTGCTCTCAAACATCAACCTTGGAAATTAAAGCAGGGACATAAAAATAGAAGACAGTCAGGGTCACTGTCACAGTTTTTCCTCATTTGTCTTACTTAGCTCCGCCCAGGTGAACTCACATCACCTGGTCCTGGTTTTAGTCCTGGTTCTGGTCCTGAGGGTTATTGGTTCTTTGTCTTTAGTTGACTTATTAATTTGTTCTTTAGTTAATTTCACTGAATTATTTTAGTCTTTGTCTTTTTTTCAAGGTGTTTTCTGTTAAAGGGTCATTGTGTGTAAAGTTGTTAGCCTCATAGCGCCACCTTCAGGTGAGCAGGATGAAAGCAGAGATCAGAGTGAAGCAGATTCAATAAACCCAGGTGGAAAAACTGAGGCTAAAAAAAAAATATGAAATTCTGCTGAACTCTCGACAGCACGCCTCCATATTCCTCTGTGTACAGATTTATAGAAACTAACCTTTTATAATTTTAGCCTTTATTTAACGAGATAAGTTCCATTAAGATCAAGTTCTCATTTATAAAGGCGACAATAAAATCCTGCTAAGACGGTCCAATCGAAAAGAACACTCAGCAGCAGAGGGCGCTAACTGTGCGGGAATACATCACAATGTGTTTTATGTCTCCAGCTGACTGAGGCGAAAAGACAATCACCAGCTGATCAATATAACGTTTCAGCCTTCACTCTGTCTGTGACACCATGCTGTTTTATACTGCATTCTGATTGGTCCAAACCCAAAAAACAGATCAAAACAAACGCCACAGCCCGTCATATCACCTGTCACATGAAATCCACCCATATAGGGCAGTCTAACCCATGTCCCCTTAGCCTGCTGACTCTGTGGTAAAAACGTTTGTATTAATGTCAGTCTGTTTGAGGAAAAGTGAGCTGATATCAGCGTCTTGAAGTTTCAAATATTCGTTTTACAAATTTTATTATTATGTCTGGTGATTTTAATTTACACATAGACAATCCATCTGATTCAATGGCAAAAGAGTTTTTAAATCTACTGAGTTGCTTGGATTTTAAACAACATGTCACACAGCAAAATCAACAGAGGACACACTATATCTAGTCCTCAGCTATGGCCTATCAGCCAGTGTGTCCTCTGTTGTTGACCTGGCTGTGTCGGACCATTATTATGTGTTTTTAATATCACTAGTTTTATTCAGCGGGAGACCTCAGAGCGAACTGTAGGAAACGCTATTTTACATCAGAAGTGGCTGCAAATTTTATCGAGATCTTGAGCAAGCATCCCTCAGCTACTTTACCTGCCTCCTGTGATTTTATTGTTGAACATTTTATCAACAAACTTGAAACCACCCTCGACCTTGTAGCTCCACTGAGAGCAAAAAAGGTACTGCCTTAGCGAACACCACCGTGGAGAAATGAGGAAATCAAAAAACTAAAAAGAAATTGCAGGGTAGCTGAGCGGAGATGGAGGAAAAATGAAATTACAATTAATCATCAAATATACTGCGAGCAACTGAAGTGGTACAATAAAGCTCTCAGACACACAAGATCCACCTATTTCACGAACATAATCACGGATCATAAAAATAACCCTGAAATCCTCTTTGCTACAATTGATCTTTTAATCAACTTGGTTTTTAACAGATATCAAATCACTCTTTCAGACACACTTTGTGAAGGTTTTGCAGACCACTTCAGGGGTAAAATTGATTTTATACGATCCTCTGTTTTATCTATTCAAAACACTGTTTCTAATACGGTGGAAAGCTTGTTTTTACCTGAGGAAACACAGGACAGTTTTTTCCTGGTTGATGCTGAGATGCTTGGTAGAATTTTCTCCCAAGTAAAACCAACAACCTGCCTTTTAGACCCAATTCCCACATCACCTTTTAAAATGTTTTATGGTTTCTTTGAAGGATAGCTTTTAAATATAGTGAATTGTTCCCTTCAGACAGGCTCTTTCCCTGCTGCCCTTAAAACGGCTGAAGTGAGACCACTTCTGAAGAAGAACAGTTTGGATCCTAATGATCTTAATGACTACAGACCAGTGTCCAACTTACCATTTTTAAGCAAAATTTTAGAAAAACTTGTTTTTATTCAGTTGAATGATTTTTTAAAAACCCATTCCATCCTGGAGAAATTTCAATCTGGATTTAGGACTCACCACAGTACCAAGACTGCACTACTGAAAATTGTTATTGATCTCAGGTGCAACTTGGACTCACACAAGCTTACAGTCCTTGTGCTACTGGATCTAAGCGCTGCTTTTGATACAGTAGATCACACAATTATTTAAAATAGACTAAGGCACCTTGCAGGCCTCTCTGGCCTTTCAATGGTTTAACTCAGACATGGGCAAACTACGGCCCCCGGGCCACATACGGCCCGTTAGGCTTTTTAATCCAGCCCGCCGAACTTGTCCAAATTACAGTAAAAACCTCCTTCATTTTCCCCTTTTGCTGCAATGCCTACGTTTCCCCAATAGATGGCGCACTCAAAACACATTGACCGTTGTTGGAGTGGCGCGTATTTCTCTTTATTTCACTTTAATTTTCACTTCGTTTCACGTTGCCATTTGAGCCCTATTGTGAAAATGAGCGGACCAAAGAGAAGGAAAGTGGACAGCGAATGCCGAGTGTTTAATAAGGAGTGGACAACAAAATACTTTTTCACTGAAGTCCGATCAACGGCTGTATGTCTGATATGCCAAGAAGCTGTTGCGGTTTTCAAAGAGTACAATATCAGCCGTCACTTTACCACGAAGCATGCAAACTATGCTAGCAAGCAGTCAACACAAGAACGGGTGGCTACTGCTCAGAGGTTGGCAGCTAATTTACAGAGTCAACAGAACTTTTTTCACTGACAAACTGCAATTCAAGAGTCAAGTACCAAGGCAAGTTATTTGCTGGCATTCAAATTAGCAAAGGCTAGCAAGCCTTTCTCCGAAGGCGAGTTTTTGAAAGAGTGCATGGTAGAGACAGCAGGTCTCTTGTGTCCGGAGAGCAAAGCCAAGTTTGAAAAAATCAGTTTAGCACGCAGGACAGTGACTCGCCGCGTGGAATTGATTGACGAAGACTTAGTCAGCGAGTTAAACAAAAAGGCGGAGTCCTTTAAGTTATATTCACTAGCACTGGATGAAAGTAACGACATAAAAGACACTGCTCAGCTCCTAATTTTTATCCGAGGGATTAACGACAGTTTTGAGATAACGGAGGAGCTTTTGAGCATGGAATCACTGAAAGGGAAAACGCGAGGAGAGGATTTATATGAACAGGTGTCTGCTGTCATCGAGAGAATGAAGCTACCTTGGAGTAAACTTGCCAATGTCACCACGGATGGATCGCCAAATTTAACTGGAAAAAACGTCGGGCTGCTGAAAAGAATCCAGGATAAAGTGAAAGAAGAAAACCCAGACCAGGATGTTATTTTTCTTCACTGCATCATTCATCAGGAGTCTTTGTGTAAGTCTGTATTGCAGCTTAATCACGTCGTGGATCCAGTTGTAAAACTTGTTAACTTCATACGAGCAAGGGGACTTAATCATCGTCAGTTC